AGGCTGCTGTACATCCACCCTCATCCTCTATGTGTTGGACATGTCAAAAAGCACCATTTGAGAGATTGCAGTATGCTGCTTTGTGTGGAGGGCTGGTGTTTAGCAGCTGAGTTAGGTACATATGCTAAATAAAAGGGACTCAACATATAAATTATATTACAAATATCAGGCCCATTTCTTAAGAAAAAGGGAAGGTTTTCAGGAGTGGGGTAATCTGTAGTTGTTGTTGTTAGTAGTCCGGAAAGGAATCTTGCTTGATGTTAAATATTCAGGCTAACAAAGGTTGCTGCCAAAAAAAAAAACCCCAAAGAAAATCAAACTTGATGATCATTGAACAAGTGATTTGTTAGTGACTGCAAAGAGCTTGCCGGGTGTGTTTCTGCTTTCTGCCCTCCGTGGCTTAACAGTCTGCTTTTATTTGACATTTAAGGGAGGAGAGGGTCCATTTCATGTACTCTCTGATCAAACTATGTGCCTGTGTTTCTCTTTTTTTTATGAGCAATTGTGTATAACAGATGAACCCTCTTACTCCATGACCTCTCTTCTGTATGTGTTCCGAGAGCCCATAGTGACATAGGCTTGTTTCCAGCCTGGCTGCAGACCAGGGACTAGTTGATATTGAAGATTTCCTTGTCCTTAACTGAAGCTCAGAAAAGGTCACTCTGTTGACTTACTATGTCAGCTGCTTTTTGCACAGTTTCCCTGAGGCAGTGTGGCTACGTTAAGAAGATCACAGAATGTGCCTTGTTTCTTTCCTTCCTCCATGATAGCCTTAGCATGTTGTTTTCTATCTTCGATTTGTATGAGCAGCTGAAGTACTGTGCCTTCAGAAATCTCTTGTGCCAAGTAACATCTGTTGTTCTTCTTGCTTGTCATTTTGCTGGCTAAGGATGCAAGGTGTCTCAGTTCAGAGCCCCAGTGCTGCTACATTTGTTAGTGTTACTGCACAGAGATAGCCATGCTGTGAAGAATGCTACCTCAGAGTGTGCTGCTAGCATTCACATTCACTTCTGGGTAATGGAGGTCATCATGGGTATGGGATTCCTGTGTTGTTAGAACTGAACCATTCAGCTTTCTTTCCTTTTTATGCAAGTCAGACCCTACAGTCTTGCATAGTGTTTTAAGAAGGTACAGTTCTACAGGGAACTGACTGGCTGTGGTATAATCCATCCTTAACCTCCACCAGCAGAAAGCAGTTAGAAACTTGAGTGAATTGGTGCAATTACCCCTGGTAGTTTTCAGTCTGTGCATCCAAAATTTCCAGTGATACCTTTATTCTTCTCTTTCATTGATTCCCTTCTTTCTCCTGCATCCACAAGGTTGTTCAGAAAAGGGTTCAGCATTTCTGTGAGGTCCCAACTTTGCTACTTGCAGACGTTGCAGACTGTCTTTGTAATTAATTGGGAAATTTCCGCCATTTGTCCTTTTGCTGAGATTATTTTTAGTATCAAGCCCCGAGTCTTCCAGACTTCTGAGCTTCTTCAGCAAACATTTGAGTTTGTTGCTGGCACCTTTGGTGAAGGGTAAATGTGGTGAAGAGGGTTGGGGAGAGATGATGTGATGTCCAGCCAGGAAGTCCTACAAGGCATCGTCTGCTGGGCTGTCAGAATAGGAGTGTAAGGGTTAAAGTGTCTGAAAGTGCTTTTGTTGGGCTGATTGGAGAGGTTGCTTCTAGATGTTGTAATCAGTAGAGGGAGGGGAATTTCCAGAGAGATAGAGATAATTTATTCATGCGTTCATTTTTAAGGATTAAACAAAATTAGGACATGCATTAATATAATGTGTTTTAATTTACTATTTGTTAACACTGCTTAATTTAGTATAACATGTTTCTGCAACAGTAAGTTAATAAAAGCAAAAGTAAAAGCTTATTTATTCTCTGATTCTGAAAACCTGATGCAAATTTTATGATAATATATACTGGGTCCCCTTTCTCCTAGGACTAATTGTATGTGGTCAGGCTCATTGTGCATGTGAGCACAATTTATACATTTTGTGCTGTTTGCACATAACTTGCCCTCTGTTCACAGATGTATGTAAAATCAGACAGGGAGGTAAGTAGCATTATATAGCAAAGACAATAGTCATGTTTGTGTTAGCCTATGGACAGCAGGATCTTGTGATACTTGGAATAATGAAAGCACAGTTTATAAAAATAGATGTGGAGGAAAATATGGCTGGTTTGGAACTGTGCTGCCTTCTGTGAAAAGCTGCTGTTGTTCTCTGTTCGCCCGAGAAGGTGATACGGGTTAAAGGAAAGTGCTTTGCATCATATTGCCATGCTGTTATTTCCCAGCAGATCATTTGTTGCTGTTTACCTCCAAATAAAGAATCAGAGATGTCCCCTAAGCAATAATAGTTTGAGTGCCTAACCTTTGTGATGGTCGCAAGGTTATGGACAAAAACCCACTAAAGCTTGTTCTCTCAGTTGCCTTCCACTTTGATCGTAGCGCTGTGGTTACATGGCACTTTTCTGTGTTGATCACTCTAGTCATAGGTTCCTTGGTAGCTCTAATCTTGAGGTGGTGGAGGAACGAGCAGCCTCCTGCATTGTCTTATTGCACTGGGTCAGGTTGGAGAAAGTCCTTACAACAGTGTTTGAATACGTGTTCCTCAAAGGAACAGCTTCCTGTTACCTCAAAGTGTAACAATTCAAAGGATCGCTTGCCTGGATCCCATTGGGATCATGCATTACAAGGTTGCAATCTCCTCAATGATGTCAAATGAGGATGCTTAATTTTGCATTGAGGTGCTTGGGTTAGCAGAGTTATTGGTTGGTTGATTTGAGTTTTAAACTACGAGGTATGAAGCAATACCTTTGTAGCTCTTAGTGGATTTGCTGTCACAGCTTCTGAATCACGTGTCATTGCACGTCTTATGGAGAGTGACTGAGGGAACAGAGATTGTTCAGGCTGGAGAAGAGGAGGCTCAGGAGAGACCTTACTGCTCTCTCCAATTGCCTGAAAGGAGGTTATAGTGAGATGGGGGTTAACCTCTTCTCCTGCATAACTAGTGATATGATGAGAGACAATGGCCTCGAGCTGCACTGATGGAGGTTCAAGTTGGATGTTAGGAAAAATTTCTTCTTTGAAAGAGTGGTCAGGTGCTGGGACAGGCTGCCCAGGGAGGTGTTGAAGAAATGTTTAGATGTTGTACTAAAGGACGTGGTTTAGTGGGGAATTTTTGTTGGTGGATGGATGGTTGGACTGGATGACCTTGGAGGTCTTTTATTGTGCATCTTGGTGTAGTACCTTCTGTAAAATGTTAATATTTTACTACACAGTGACTTGGCACTAATGGAAGAATATGCCAGCTTCCAGTGAACTTCTAAAATCTATCTTATGTTGGCTGTTCCCCCAGTTTTGTCTTAACAGCTTTCTTGGTAGTTTGCATTTCTGAGAAAGTGACATAGCTGTGTAATTGACTTGTTTTTTTTCCCTTTGGAAGAAAGAGTAGGAATGGAAAATTGTGTAAGTATAATTCGTATTTTGGTTAGTGCTTAGAAATGAATTATAACTCTCTAATACTAATAGTTGAAGTCATTCCCGCTAGTCAATGAAAAGAGACTTCACTCCAAAGAATCCCAGGCAAATACGGAAATCCTCTCAGCTTCCCAGTGCAGACTTATTTAAAAATGAGCATTAAGCTAATTGCACAGAGAGGACCAGAATACAGAAAGTGCTTGCAAATCCTCTTCATTACACAGGTTGAATCCACGTGTCTGAACAAAGAGTGTAAATGCCTCAAGCCTAGTAACTTTTTAAGGCCAACAGCAATTAACATAAAGGCAGGACAAATGCTGTGTCAGAGATACAGTGTGTTGGAAATGTTAAGTTATATAGTATGTACTTTGTTTTTAGGCAGACATGTGGGGTGGTGTAACACAAGGAGAGACTGTCCTATGAGAGAGACTGAAGGAACTGGGGCTGTTTAATCTGGGGAAAAGGAGGGTGAGAGGAAACATTATTGCTCTCTTCCAATATCTGAAAGGTGCTTACAACAAGAGTGGGGCTGGTCTCTTCTCACTGGTGGCAGTGGCAGGACGAGGGGAAATGGCCTCAAGTTGCACCAGGTTAAGTTTAGGTTGGATATCAGGAAAAACTTAACTTACAGAAAGCACTAGAATAGGCTCCCCAGGAAGGTGGTTGAATCACCATCCTTGGATGTGGTGCTCAGGGACATGATTTAGCAGAGGGTTGTTAGAGTTAGGGTAGTATGGTTAGGTTATGGTTGGACTTGATGATCTTTAAGGTCTTTTCCAACCTGAGCAATTCTATAATTCTATGTTGGTGTTGTATGCACCTTCCTCCTGACGCTTCTGTTTTCTAAGAAGTGAACCCAAGTGCTTCAATTGAGGGAAGTTAACCCAAGACAATACGGTTGCATGTAACGCTGTCAGTGCCCTGCCCTGCTGATATGCAGGGAAATCTTTGGAACTATTCAAGTCAGCCTGCAAGGTGGGAAGGGCTGAGGCTATGCAGCCATGGCTGCTAAAGCATTTTCTTTTCATGCATTTGGCTCCTGTTAATGTAAATATTCTCCAGTTAGGGTTGTGGCTGCTCTTAAAAGCAGTTCAAGAGCTCGTCAGAGCAAGCAGTGGAAGTTGGGGAGGTTCTCCTGGCTCTGTAAAGTTGGTTTTCCTGATTTCTTAGAAGGGTAGGATGCAGTGACCTCAATGAGGCTCCCCAAAGGTGCTGTCATCACTGCTTAGGAATTTGGGAATACCACAGTCTATATGGGAAAAACAGCTGCTACATTTCTTAGAGTGAGAGTGTGTGACTCGGTCCTTCCTAGTTAAGCTGCTTGGCACCAAGGAGAGGAAGGTGCCCTTCATTTTTAACCTGCTGAAGAAACAAGGGGAAGTCAACAGCAGCGCATGAGCAGGAGGTGGCATCTTGCAAGCAGCAGCAACACCCAGAGCTCTGTGGTCTCAAGTGAGGCCCACGTGCATTGCTGGCAGAGGGGATGTGCCAGGCCTCTGCCTCAGGATCTTCTGTCCCTGCAGCACTTTGACGCACACAGCTTAAAGAGTTTGATCCAAGTCACCTCCCGTCTTGCTTTCTTAAGAACACGTGGCTTTAAATTAATTCACAGGCACCAGCATACTCCCTTAGGTTCCTGATTTTGGACATCAGATTCTGTTATTCTTTGGAAACAGAAGCTTATGAACATCTCGGTCATCGTAACGGTATAAAAAAGATCACAGATTGTGCTCGCTTTTCCTCCAGAAGCGATACGGCGCATCTCTGTCCAAACTGAACTCAACCGTGTTTAGCTTTAGCACTGATGAGTAAGTGAAAACGCAGGAGATGTAAGCATGCATCTGTCCAGCGAAGCTGTTTACATTCCATAGTTGGGGATTCTTTTATTTTTTCTTTGCTGTTGTGCTGTGCAGTTCTTTTGCCTGTTCTAATTTGCCGTGACGTGGTCAGTTTCCTTCCGGCTGCTCGCAAGCCTGTGGTCGAGATAAGGATACATTTGCAGCACGTTTTTAAAAAGAAGCTGAAGATCTGCTTCACGTAGAGACTTGGGGACTCTTTGGCCTGCATGAGGAATTTATTGGCTGTTTTTCTGTTGTGAACCGTGGGAATCAAGATCAAGGGCATTTCTTTTGCTAAAGAACAGCCCTGCAGAATTGGAACTGTGTGTGAGGCAGAAAGGTGATACACCTGAGGTATCCTGCAGCTCGGTAGGTCAGTCTGTGTTCTGTGTTTTGTTTTCAGTATAACTTGAAGATAATTAGTTAAAACTGCATCAGGTGCAAAGATGGATTTTCCTTTTGTTAGCTTTCGTAACTTCTTCGTGTTGGTCGAATGCTTTTAAAGTGAAACACTTTGAAACTTGTGCCTTGCTTCCTGAAACAGTCCCTTTTTTTTCTTTTTTTTAAAGGGAAGGAACATTTGCACGTGTTGATTAGTGGAAGTAATACCTTTGGGGATCAGAAGGTATCCAACTTTCCTAGAGCCTGGTAAAACACTCGTAGATACAACCAAGCTTTATAGTGAGAGCTGTTCTTTCAGATAGCTAAAGCAATCAGTACCTAATTTGTATTTCTTTTTTTTCCTTCCTCAGAGATAAACAGCTGTCCACGTGGGAGAAACAACTCAGGAAAGAATTGTCCTTGGTTTCTTTGAGAAGGACCCAGGAACGCTGATGATCTAAGAACTACTGAAACTGCCACTTGGTTCATTCTGTGATCCTGCCTTCCTGCCCTGCTGCACCCTGGTGACACTGTCCATTCTTTTCCATTTGAGAACACTTTTCTTCTTATGTGGAGCTGAGAGCTGGGAATGCGTTATTATGGCAGCAGTTGTACAGCAGAATGAGCTTGTGTTTGAATTTGCCAGCAACGTCATGGAGGATGAGCAGCAGGTATGGGATGGTGGAAGAAATGGCATTTGTTCAAGTTCGAGCAAAGAATGTTAGGAAAACATGAGGAAAAAGTGTTGTGTAAAACACGAGAAAGCAAACGCTGAGATCATTATGGTTGCAGCAGATCTCTGCAGTTTCAAAAGCTTCCTGTTGCTTCCTGTAACTTGCACGAGCAGAGCAGAAATTGGTTGAAATGTTGTAACTTCTGCAGTCTTGCAGAGACCTCCTCTGAAGATGTTTTTCCTTTGTCACTGATTTGTGCCAGTAGAATCCATTCATGCTGTAAAATTCCTGACATTTTGGTGTTTGACAGTCGCTTTAAGTTTTGTGGTGTGCTAGGATAAAATCCAGGACAAAGCAACTGTCACACTACAGATGACTAGAAGGAGCAGTAAGTGTCTGCCCTCTGCTCTTTGCAAATTGGTTTGTGAATTGCATTACTGTGTGCATGTCAGCTATTCAGAACTGAGCTTCAAAATAACTTACGTGGGTTTCTTTCACACTGCGGAGATGCTACCTGTTTCTGTCTCATAAAACTATTAGGTAGTTTTAGATTATCAAAACCACATCCTCAGACTCCTGAGGCTTCAGCAAAGAAATCCTATCGTAAAACTCGAGCAGCTCTTGTATAGGTGGTGGTTCATGGTGGGGTTTTGCATTGGTTAACGATAAGTTAGGCATCTTACTATTGTGGAGCGGTACTTCTGAGTCTTGTGGAGATTTGAAGGCTTCTTAGTCTTATAGAGGAGCAGCTGAGAAGCGTTGCTGTAAATTGTTCCTCTTTTTGTGAATGTGAAAAGTATTTGTCCTCTGCTTTAAAAATACTTTTGGCTTCGTAACCTTGTCTCTGGGTTTTTTCTGTGGCCACATGTTTGGCTGGGTCAGTGTCCCGTTTCTGCTGTCAGACTCGTGTGATCGTTTGAATGAGCTGAGTGTTGTCTGTCTGAAGTGCTAACTCAGTTTTGGGTGGAACTAGTAATGTAACTTCCTTCCCTGTATTTTTCCAGAGCCTGTGGCAGTCTGGGGATTTAGATATGGGAATTGCACAAACACAGTGGAAAATGAGCTGTATTTATTACTTCTGTATGTTGCTTGTTGTTGTTTTTACTTTACAAGCCAATGGGAGAAATGAAAAGAGGAGGGCTGCTTCATTGTGATTTCTTGGAGGAGCAGTGCAAGAAACGTGCCTGTCTTTGTTTAGCTACGCGTTTTGTCTCTTGTGGTTTCTTCAGATGCTCACCTGAAAAACTTACAAAAAAAAAATTAATAGAAAAAAATACATGGAGCACTCAAGAGTAAAACCTCCCTAAATGGAGCTCTCCTAAATGGAGGCCAAACTTAACCTTGGCGTAACCTGGATAAATCCTACTCCAAATTAAGCCTAAGGAAAAAAGGCATCCTGGAGCATACCCTACAGGAGATGTAATCAAAGATGTGGAAGGCCATAGCAAAGCATTCCTTGCAGCAAAGACTTGGATGGAAGCTCTGTTTTAAATCAATAGATTGACTTTGTTCCTATATCAAAGATTCAGGTAGCCAGCTAGATGTCTGCCTGAAGGTAGATACAAAATTTGCAGTTGTGGAAAAGAAGCCTGGAGTAGGCAAAGATGTGGGAAGTTGAAACAAGATTTAACTCAGATCAAGGTGGATGATATGGTATTAACACAAAAAGGTTGATTATGTGTATAACTCATTGATCTGCTTCTTACAACGTAGAAGCTATTGGTACAGATACTATGAAGTTTTTCAGCTCAGTTTGCATTTTGGGATATATACTGATACATATATTGTGTACTTTGAGCGTTTTAGTTCTAGAAGTGCTCTGTGTTGATCAAAAACATTTTTTGAGCTTTGTCAGGATACAAAATCATAGAATCATAGGATTGCTCAGGTTGGAAAAGACCTTAAAGACCAACCATGACCTAACCATACTATCCTAACTAACAACCCTCTGCTGAACCATGTCCCTGAGCACCACATCCAAACAGTTTTTAAACACACCTAGGGATGGTGATTCAACCACCTCCTGGGGAGCCATCTTTATATGCAGGTGCCAAGTAACTGATCTGTGGGTAATAATTTTTGCTATTTTCTCAAAAGCAGGAGTTGAAGATACTTTGATACTCATGTTCTTGTCGAGGCTTTGTCTGGAGCCCTTTTGTGCCAAGAACTGATAGGGCATGGAACACCTGTGGGGAAAAGTTCAGAGCCTAGATGGCCGCTAAATTCTGTGTTTCAGGGAAGTCATAATTCATGGCCTTTTATTTATTTTCTTTTAAGTCTCGGTTAAACAACTATAAATTATGAACCGTCTATTTGCAAATCTAAGCATTCAGTGGCTTGGTCATGTGGCCCTGTGTGAACAGGAAGGGCTCTTTTCTATCAGATTTATCCCTTTCTGTTTAGAAAGTTATGTTTTGTTTGTTCTTTTCTCTTTATCCTCGGAGGGCTCACTTGTAAGGTTGTGCTTACATGGTGAAGAAGAAATGTGGTGAAAATATCTTCTTGATTTTGAGAAGGGAACCAAATGGTGAATGCTAAAGGTACTGAAAAGCTTGGCAGGAGCTCCTACAGGCTTTGGCTGAGTCAGCACTGCTGTCCAGAACTGCTTTTCTTAATGTCTGCACCTTAGAATCATAGAGTCATAGAATTGTTAGAGTTGGGAGGGACCTTTAAATGTCATTCAGCCCAACTTCCCTGCAGCGAACAGGGACGTGCCATATCCAGCCTGGCCTTGGAAGTATCCAGGATTGGGCATCAACTGTATCTCTGAGCAACCTTTTCCAGTGCCTCACCACCCTCACTGTAAAAGACTTTTTCCTTATATCCAACCTAAAGCTACCCTCTTTAAGCTTGAAGCCATTTCACCGCAGACCCTGCTAAAGAGCGCGTTCCCTTCTTTCCTGTAGTTCTCCTTTAGATACTAAAGATCTGTTATCAGGTCACCTCAGAGCCTTTTCCTCTTGAGGCTGAGCAGCCCCTGCTCTCTCAGCCTGTAACTGGAGTCTGTGCCCTTAGGTTGCTCCACCTTCTCAGGCCTTGATTTACTCTTCCACGTTCCCTGATGCTCTGTAATATGAAGTCACCTCAGGAGAACTGGTGGCACCAGAGCTGAAAGCCGCAGTCGAGGCCAAGTTCTACACTTTTGTCTATTTCCAGCTTCTGCAGGAAGTCCCCACTTGTCAACTTAGTGTTTTATGAAGACTCAGGAAATGGTTGTGAGATCCATACTGAGGTACTCCTAAGCAGTATTTATCTTCTTCCAGAATCCCTCTGTGAAACTTGGTCATGTCTCCATTCCCGTCCGTGGGAACGCCTGGAAAGTTGAGAGCCTGCTTCAGTGTTTGGCGCAGGGACATCTGTGAGAAAAAGCTGAAGCCCATTTTCCAGTCACCAAGATCCCTTTGCCTAGTTTTTATTAGTGTTTTTTCTTGTTTGTGCCTCTAGATTTTATGGTTTTCCCAAAATAAATGGCTAACAGTATCTTAAATATGAATACTATTGTTTTTTTACAAAGCCAGTTTTTGCATGGAGGCTTCTTTAATCCCCGTGTAACTTTTCCTCCTTAATATCTGTTGCATGCTTTTCTTGCAACCAATCACTCATAAATTTTCTTCTAAGCCACTTGGAAGCTACTCACTGTATTCTTGGGACAATGTTTTCCAGTAAAACTAAACATTTTTTTCTTAGATTGGATCTGGATTGTCTCATAAAGTGATACCAGCAGAGAAGAAGAAATCCCCTTTATTGTTCTCGGGTTTTGCAGGAAGTTTTAGTTTTTCCCCTCATAGAGAGTGGCCAATACTTTGCAGAGACCTGTTCATGGGCCACTGAAGGAATACCTGTCTGAAGTTTCATGCTCTTCCAAATAGTTATAGGTCCATGTACAGGGTTGGCCTGCAGAAAAAAAATTACACTGTGAGGGATTTAATGCATAAGACTTGCAAAGATTTTAACGTAAGCTGAAGTCCTTTATTTGCCCAGCAGATGGGGAAGATGTGTTGAAGCCAAACCAAAGCTTTGGTGCAGCTAGAATGCCATGTTTTAACTGTGCGTCATGGTGATAGTAGGAGAAAGGTGAAACAGGAAAAATAGGCAAAGTAAAAAAAAAAAAAATATATATATATATGTATATGAATTGCTCTTTCTGTTGGTTTATTTGATTACTTGAACACTGCTAATGCTTCAATAGGGCTTCTCTTTAAAAGATTTTTGGAATGGGAATGTCATTTTGCCTTTCTTTGTTAGTGCACATAGAGGAGCCTTTTTGTTAGAAATAAGTTTTTGTGGTCTTGCTTTAGAGAAGTAATAAAATCTAATTATTCAGAGGGTTATGTTCAGTGGTGCACAGTCTAGTTGGAGGCTGTATCTAGCGGTGTTCTGCAGGGGTAAGTACTGATCTGGTCTTGTTTAACTGCCATTGGTGGCCTGGATGAAGGGATAAGGTGCACTCTCAGCAAGTTTGCTGATAATAGAAAGCTGGAAGGGTTGATTGACACACTGGAAGGCTGTGGTGCCATTCAGAAAGGGGTGGACAGTCTGGAAAGCTGGGCAGAAATGAAATTCAACAAGGATAAATGTAGAGTCCTGCTCCTTGGGAGGAATAACCACAAGCATCAGTGCGGGTTAGGGGCTGACCTGCTGGAAATGAGCTCTGCAGTGAAGGATGTGGGCGTCCTTGTGGACAACAGGTTGGCCGTGAGCTAGCGGAGTGCCCTAGAGGCCCAGAAGGCTGATGGTATCCTGAGGTGCATTAAAAAGAGCGTGGTCAGCAGGTGGAGGGAGGTGATCCTTCCCCTCTACTCTGCCTTGGTGAGGCCACATCTGGAGTGCTGTGTCCAGTTCTGGGCTCCTCAGTTCAAAAGGAGAGGGATCTCTTAGAGGGAGTCCAGCAGAGGGCCACAGAGATGATGAAGTACTTGGAGCATCTCCTCTACGTGGAAAAACTGAGAGACCTGGGCCTGTTCAGCCTGGAGAAGAGTGAGAGGGGAATCTTATCCATTCTTATAAATATCTGAATGGTAGATGTCAAGTGAATGGGGCCAAGCTTTCTCAGTGGTGCATAGAACCACAGCGGCAAAACAGGGGGCAGTGGGCACAAATTGGAACAGAAGAAGTTGTGTATGAAAATGAGGAAAAAATTCTTTACTTTGAGGGAGACAGAGCACTGCGTCAGGCTACCCAGAGAGGCTGTGGATTCTCCTTCTTTGGAAATGTTTGAAACCTGCCTGGAGATTTTCCTGTAAGGGCATCTAATATAGGGAATGTGCTGTAGCTGAGGGCTGGACTAGATGATCTCTGGAGACCCCTTCCAACCCTTACAGTTCTGTGTGATTCTGTAATTAATAATAAGAAGTAGTCTTTAATTCAGCAGTGTTTTCCCGTTATGGAATTATACAGAACCATCATATGGAGCTGCAGTGATCATGGTCACTTTTGCCATTTGAAATATGTACAAAATTATTCCTCTGTTTTGAGAGCTACAAGAAATTTGAGCTTGCCCCATAGTTGGGATTCAGGTACTTTCAATGAAATCAAGAACATTACAGAAGTGCTAAGGTGAGATTTTATCTTTCAATCGTTTTGCATGTTTTAGTATTAATTAGTAGTAGCACTTAAAACTGAACGAGCTGCTTGTGAAAGGAATCATAACCAATTGCAAACATACAATTTTTTATTCTTTTTATTCAATTTTTTATTCAGACATGTCCTTTGAATTCAATTTGTTTGCAGCTGCATTCATGTTTTCCTCACTGAAGATGTTTATTGGTATCTGATCCAACTTCTCCTTTTCATATCCATGGCGGGTTTGAAGATCCATGCTTTGTACAGCAGCAATAAATGATTGGGAAAAGATCTATTAATGATCTGAAAAATAGGCCTCAAGCAGTGATACTTAATGACTTCAGTTTAAAGCTATTACTAGTTTAAAGAAAATCCCACTTGGTGTCCTGGCATCAGCAAATGCTCTTCTACACCATTCTTAGTTGCTTCTCTGTCTTGTCTTTTCCAAGTGCAGTGTCAGCAAGCTCCTTGAATTGGCCAGTGCTAATTTGGGTGCCCAAGTATTTCCCTGCAAGGTGGATTTCTGTACCTGTAGAAGGACATGCATTGGCTGTGTCAGAGTGTGTTCATAGCAATTGTTTCCTGACATAATCAAGATTCAGCTGAGCCTTGCAGAGTAGACCATGCTTGATCATACTGATCAGACCTACTGCTACATGGTGGTGAAAGATGGTACCTTAATGAATGGATGATTGGGCTGTTGTAATTAGATTTCACAGCAGAGTGACTAATAGTGCTGGAGATAAATAGGATTTTGAGAAATGGAGATCAAAGTGATGAAGAATCAGTTTGTTCTGTGTTTCCTTTCTTATTCTGAAACAGAAGACTGAAGAATAACTGTGGTGTTGGAGGTTTTTTTTGCCTCTTGGAGACAGTTAGTGGTATGAACTTCAGTCATTAGAGAAGGACGGTGCTAAGCCAGAGTCAATTTCTATCCAGAAGGAACTAACAAGAGGCTCATCCTAAGCACAGATGACCCCTTGAGAGACTATCCCCTACAAACATTGCAAGCCCTGCATATCAAACTAGTGCAAGCACAGCAACAGGAAGGAAAGGCAGACCGCCTCACTGCAGGAAGGCAGCTGACCAGTTTCAGATCATAGAATCATAGAACGGCTTGGGTTGGAAGGGGCCTCAAGCATCATCAAGCTCCCATGCCCCTGCCAAGGCTGCCAACCTCCCCATTAAATACCAAACCAGGCTGCCCAGGGCCCCATCCAACCTGGCCTTGAACAGCTCCAGGGATGGGGCATCCACCACCTCTCAGGGCAGCCTATGCCAGCACCTCACCACTCTCTCTGTAAAGATCTTCCCCCTGTCATCCAACCTAAATCTTCCTTCCCTCAAATGGCAGTTTTCATCCTGCCATTGTAGATGTGTTCAAGCTGTTTGTTTACACCAGGATTAGGCACCTTGACACCTTTTTATAGTCAGTGGAGAGAAATAGGCAGAAATAGTTTTTACAGGGCCTGATTCATCCCGGTGACACAGGAGCCTAAAACTGATGAGGGAGATTGTGCTCTACATATAAACTGCTCTGTTGACTCTGAAGGAAACCTAGGCTCAGTGGATCAAGTCTTAGTATCTTTGTGCTTGAAGTCGGGTGCTATGAACATCACCCCTAGTGTCTATGAGCTAGAAAAGGATGAGAATATCAAAGTGTTCATATTTGTGTCTTCTCCATCTAAAATCCATACTTTTCACCTTTGTAGTAGATTACTGAACAGATGCTTGCAGAACATGTGCTCTTCTTGCTTGCAGGTGACACAAACCTGAGTGCATAATGTGGTTACATATACACGTGCACAGTATATGTAACTGGCACGTCATGACTTACAAACTGTGGCATATTTTAAAATTGGGATGCTCCAGCTGCTTAGTACCATGAATTGCATCACAGCAACATGGCTATAACGGACCACCTTCCTTCTAGTTTGTAGAACTTACTCTTGAAAATCTTCCAAATGCAGACAGTATTTTATTTTTCATCTCATTACACTGCTCTCTTTTTTTTTGCTTAATTTGCTTGTATTTGGTTTTGTAGGCTTTTAATTTGTTAGCAGAACATTTATGATAGAAGCCCCTAGAAATATTAGCTTTGTTTCTGAACTCTTCATTTTTTTTTCTAATTGCTCTTTACCACAGTTGTTGAGGCATGTTTTACAAAACGCAGAACAATTTCAGATGGTAATTACTTCCTCATAAAGATCCTAATTGCACTTTCTCCTTTCAGTATGTATGTTCCATTCCCTTCCGTGGGAGACGATGACTCCCACTGCCGTTCTCTGCAGGGAGACAGCAGCTCTGAGACCATTTTCTGCTGCTGGTGTCCTGTGCAGTGGAAAGACTGAGACATGAGCAATGCCCAAATAAGCGTTATTACCTATATTGTTGTTTTTCTTCTTGCATGGCTAAATTGAAAAAAAAAAAAATACTGCTCGATTTTTGCATATCATAGAATGGCCTGGGTTGAAAAGGCCCACAGTGATCATCCAGTTTCAACCCCCTGCTATGTGCAGGGTCTCCAGCCACCAGACCAGGCTGCCCAGAGCCACATCCAGCCTGGCCTTGAATGCCTCCAGGGATGGGGCATCCACAGCCTCCTTGGGCAACCTGTTCCAGTGCATCACCACCCTCCATGTGAATATCTGTTCTTTTGTGGAGTGAGGCCAAATGTACACACATGGATTTTCTCATAGGAATGCTTTGGAGCAATGTTTGGTTTGTTTTCTTGTTTTTAAGTGTGCCGAACTCAGAGTGTGGCTTATTTTTATAGTGAGAGAGCCACAGAGTTACACAAGACTTCCTTTGAGCCTCCTATGCTGCCATCCACTGACTTTTTTTTCCTGCCTGTGGCGTTTGGAAATCACACAGAATCTTTTTGGAAAATACTTTATCATAAATGGCATTTTCTGCAAACCTCTTCCTATTGAATGGTTGCTCTTTTGGAGAATGTGCATCTTGTTATTACAACTGGCCAGCTTGATTTTGGCTTTTGCAAGTGCCCTTTTTCTGTTGTATCTTATGGAAAATAACTGTTGAGAGAGAAGGATGATGGCTGAAAGCGGGCTTTAAAGCAAAGTAGGGGAGCAGTGGCAAGTGAAGAAACCACAAGAATTAGAGGTACATGTATAAAGCACTCCTTGTTTCACTTGTTACCCTCATGGTAAGTGACCCCTAAGCTACTATCTCACAGTAAACTCAGTGCTGGTGAGACCTTCCTGCAGTGCTCACAGCCACACCACCCTCTGCCTGCAGCTGGACAGGAAGAGCAGAAGGTGCTTGCAGCAAGTTGTTTGCTGCTGTCATTGCCAGCTGAGTTCGACTTCTACTGAATTGCTCCATTCCTCTGCTCTGTCAGCCTTTTAGCTGCAAAATGCTGCTGTGGGAGTCTTGTATAACCTCCTGCGACCATGTCAGTGTATTATACACTATCTGTAGTGATATTCAGCCTCTGGCCCATGGCAGGACACTGCTGCTCTTTTTGTTTTGTGTGCTAAAAATCATCTTGTTTTTCAGTACTCTTTCCTGATCATTTAATATTTAGGTGATATGCTGTGGGTTTGTTGAAGTTGAAGTAAATGCTTAAAGTGGGAATGTTCTAACTGCCATTACTTTAATTTTCCTTTTTTTGGTTTTTTTTTTTCTACAGCTTGGTGATCCGTCCATCTTCCCTGCTGTCATCGTGGAACATGTCCCTAGTGGAGATCTCCTAAACAACTATTCTGGTTTAACCTGTGTGGATGAGCCCAGTGACATGATCACTGAGAATTCCCTAGATGTTGCAGAGGAACAAATCATTGAAGATGATGATATCCCCCTCACAGGTTCGCAATACAATTTTTTATCTGCCATGCTTTTGCAACAAGGTGGTTGTGGCTGGCAGCGAGGAAAAGCTGAGTGACAAAAATGAGTAAGAAACAAAGTTATAATGATATTGAATGCTGTCAATCCTGTGCTGCAACATGGAGAAGATGGTATTAATTCCAGTACCAGGTGGCTTGCGATTCCAGCTGCACAGTTGGTACAGTGACCTGTCATCCATCAATACAGATTAAGATAGGGTTCTATTCAGAGTACCAAAACGGTTGTGCCTTGCTCTTAATGTCATTTTTTTGCCCCTTTTTTTTTTAGTGGTTGGTATGTACTTGAGTAAATGTGATGTACCAAAAAAGCAGCAACATACAGCATGTGTAGATGTAGCATTTTGATTTCTGGAGGGTATGCAAATGGCCAACTGTAAAATGTGCATGTCAGCGCGATGCTGATATTGGTGTGCTCAGCATAGTGTTCGTTTTAGATCTCTAATAATCAATGTTTAAAGTACAAATGTTGTGCATAACTTCTGTTAGGAAGGATAGTGTAAAAGAGAAAGCTCAAGGATATATCTGATTAAAGAAACTTATTAAAAACAAAAACAAAAAAGCCCCCAAAGCAAACAGCACCTTGCTGAAAGTAGGTATTTGGAGCATCTTTGCAGACGAAGTCTGAAAGGTGAGGTGGATGCTTTACAAAGCTGAGATCTGGTTGTGCCATCTTTCACTGATGAGGTTTTTCCAGCTGAGCTGTCCCCAGGGTTGCAGACAGCTTGCTGGTTTCAGTCATGGCTCTGGCACTACTTCCAAAGGCTCTGTTACAGCCTTTTACCACCAAAAGCCAAACTCAGCAAAACTGGACACGAGGTGTAGTTCATAGAGTAAATTGGCACAAACCATTCCCAATAAATGGTTTTATCTGATATATGTGGCCCCTTTTTCTTAAGCCATGAATTATCTGTGAACAGGCTGTGACTGTACAAATAATTTAACTGATTATTCAAGAAAGTCTTACGTGCCTAAACGTTACTTCAAGTTGAGACCTCTTGCCAACTATTCACTTGCTATTCATTTTAATTATTCACACTGTAACTGGCATTTCCTCAGTGTTATTTAAGCACCACTTAACGTGACTGTGTGAATATTTTGTCGTTGATGAATTTCATAGTTTTCGTGCATACGTATTCACTGCAATACATACTGTTATAATACAGTGTGAATTGACAGTTGCATGAGTAATTGTGAAACTCTGCTTTTGTGACTATTCTTGTTAAGATTTTTCGTTGCTAACGTAAATAGTCACATGAGAAGGGTTTGCTGCCAGAGAGTGAAAATATGTAATCCTTGTAACTGATGGTGTCCAAGGGATACTTTGGAGGCAGACAAGCACTGCATTGTTAACATCTTCCATTGTAGCGGAAGCAATCTGTTTTTCTTTAAAGGCCAAGTCCTTAGAAAAGAAGAGCTGTGACTTTGTAGAGATTGCTGTAATGAAGGAGATGCTAACTAATTATCTGGTTCACACTGCAGCATCTGTGCTGCCGGTTTCTTTGGCCACTGGAAACTGAGTGCTTGGCTTTGTACAAAGAGATGACTCCAAGCTGACCAGCACCACCGCTCAGGGCTCCTGTGGGGAGGGTGCCTCAGCAGTTTGTGTATATCAAGGAGCCCCTGCCAGTCCCTATCAGGGCAGGATTACAGGGCCAGGTAGGACACGAGCCTCCCATGAAAGTGTGGAGAGAGCACAGAGAAGGAGCATGGCTTCATCACCTCTCTGTCCAGGTTTCAGGTACACAGCTCAACCAAACCACCAGAGCAGGTGCAAGTGCATTTTTCAGTGGGCTGCTTGTGAAGTGGGGCTGATTGCAGCTAACGTTTCCCACCTACTTTGTTTTCTGGTTATTTCCTATCTCTGAGGCTCCCCTCTTGATTTTAATTTGTGTGTGTTTGGCCTCAGCAGTGAAATGCGTTGTTTTGCTCTTGGAAGTTTGTACAAATCTTTTCAGTCACTTTCACGTTATGCCTCTGAGAGAGAATCGGACCTTGAAAAGACTGTACTAATTCCAATTTAAAATATTCAGAGGACTGAAGTTCACAGCAAAATGAAACTGAAAATGCCAACATTACTCAGAAATGGTTTCTAAATATGCATGAATTTTTTTTTTGAAGCTACGAGTTTTTCAGTGCTGATTTTTTTTTTTTCCTGTTATACATTAAGCTTTCATTTTCCCCTAAACTACAAGTAAATTAAGTCTGCTGAAACTGCAGGAATTACTGTTGAATGTTGTATCTGCAGAAGTATGGACTCTGGTAAGCTTCTCTGCCTCTAGGATCTAGTTTAAGCCATTCAAAACTAGCTATTACACTGCCCTGATTACTATCTGTAGTATAAATTATGACCTGCAGAAAACTACAGCTATAAGAACAGCATCTGTTTTACTTGAAACCCTGCTGAAAGATAGCCAACAGCCAGTTTTCTAGCTATGTTATACACACCATAATCTTTTTATAATTAATAGACAGACTTGCCTTATCACTCTCTAAATTTACCAACACATTTCATTGGAAAAACTGTGATAGCAATTTGCAGGTCGGTTTGTTGCTGGTATAATGTGACCCCAAACGATTAACTGTCATGTAGTAAAAGATGATCAAGAAAATAGATTGGAGCATTTGGCTTTGGATGAAGTTTTATCACTGAAGAGAATATTGAGTTGTGTGGTGGTGGTTTTTTTCCTCTCTGAAAAATACAGGGGATCAAGTTTTGCATACAATAAACTGTAGGCCATCTTGTCAGATGGTATCATTTAGTACACTTTATTTATCTTATTAGTGTAATTAATTAGAGTTGTAAAATGCACAGGAAGGAGGAACTAATTGGATTATGTAACTTCCTGAATTATTTTTTTCTTGAAGCCGACACATGTAATGTAGAAAAACAGCAGGTAATCAAACTCTGCCACTTTGTGGTTCACCTGTGCCTCCTCACTGAAACAGTGAGAAAGTTTGTGTAAGAGGGGAGAGACAAAAAAAATGGGCACTTTGATTCACTGTGCCCTGATCTGAATCCAGAGCACAGAAATACAGGTTCTCATAGAACAGCAATGAAGCTTAACAACCAATTCAGAAGTTATTTTACAGTCTGTCCAAGTTAGGTAGCATTTAGCCTGTGCATTTGGTGAACCTCTAGAACTGATGGCACAAGCCAAACTGTTCAAGTAAGTGAATGAAGGGAAAGTGCTACGTGTTGTAACCCAGCACAACCCCAGCATGTTCCGTGGATGTAATCATTTATAATGATTGCAAAGAAATCCAAAAGGCTGCTGAGTTGGAAACAGAATTTCACAGTCTTAATCCATGAGGATTTTCCATTGACAAGATGCTAGTTGTAAAAAGACAAAAAGATGAGATCTGTTGCTTTGTAGAGAAGTTACTCAATACTGCTTATACCATCTGGATAGAAATGAGGAGTGTTTTTCCATGGAGCTCCCCGGTAAGATAATTTCACTTATGAATTTTAAAGCCGTGTTTAAAAAGAAAAGGAAGTGTGATGTATAGGTCTCCTTGAATCACGTGCATTCTTAAATTAGCACTTGGTTTTCCAGCATTACTTAACAGTTGGTGCAGAATTTCTATTAAAAAGCAATCGCTTAAATTTAACAGTCAGTTATTCTGAAAAAAAGGTCTCAGTCTGTATGTGAGGAATCTCTTCATTAAATTCATGGAGCATCTCTCCTATGAAGAAAGGTTGAGGGAACTGGGCTCGTTTAGCTTGGAAAAGAGAAGGCTTTAGGGAGACCTCATGGTGGCCTTCCAGTACTTGAAGGGAGCATATAAACAGGAGAACGGCTGTTTTTAAGGGTGGATAGAGATAGGACAAGGGGGAATGGTCTTAAACTGAGACAGGGGAGGTTTAGTTTAGATGTTAGGAGGAAGTTTTTCACTCAGAGGGTGGTGACACACTGGAACAGGTTGCCCAAGGAGGCTGTGGATGCCCCATCCCTGGAGGCATTCAAGGCCAGGCTGGATGTGGCTCTGGGCAACCTGGTCTGCTGGTTGGTGACCCTGCACATAGCAGGGGGTTGAAACCAGATGATCATTGTGGTCCTTTTCAACGCAGGTATTTCTATGATTCTTCCTTCTTTCAGCGACTTTACATTTCTTCCAGCATTGTTCTGAGACCTTGATCCCTTTAGTTGGTGTATTTAAATACAGCTGTGACTAGCACAGGCTGTATCTAGTCTGGGCAAAGCCCCCATCGTTGGCCTTTTGGGGCTGATGATTGGTTTGAGAGGTGTGTGACAGAGGGAGTGGGGTGGGATCCCTGAGCTGAGCGATGGGAAGTGAGCAGCCACCTTGTCAGGAGGTGTCAAGTAGAAAGGTGTAAAGCATTCCAAAGTATGCTAGGTGGGAATTTGGGCTGAAGGAAGGAGCTTCAGGCTAGATGTCGAGTTTCTTTTTCCACCAGGTGAGAAGACAGCCTTGTCTGGGCAGGCCTGCTGCTAGCTGTGAGCTCTGCTGATTCATTGCAAACACGCATCCACAGTAATTGGGTTGTAATTGGCATACACAGAGGCTTAAATTTGTGGCTTGCTGAGATAATCGGGAGCTTGTTGAGTACCCTGGGAAAAAAATGTTACTTTTGGGTGTGGTTTTGTTTTCCTTTATTTTTTTTTCTTAAGTTGCAACCTATTTAAAATAGGTACTTTGAAATGAAAATGCACAGCATTTTTGTAGCTGCGACTTTGAAGTGTAACAAATAAGTACTGTCGTCTCAATCCTTCTTTAGTTTGTGACTGTGTCATAACTGCCATTGTGATTGGTGATTTCAATTGTGATTGGAATATATACTGGCAATGTTAAGAAACTGAAGTAGCAGACTGGCTTGCTCTTATTTGTTGGGTCGGTTATCCCTGAGAGCTATCTCAAGCTGCGTGCTGCTGCTAATAGGACAGGGAGGTTGTGATTACATTGCCATGTGGCACCTCACAGCTTGCTTGTGTTGGCTCTTGAGTTCCTGTAATTCAACTTGCTAATCCAGCAGAACCCCTCAGATTTATGTTCAGCCATTGCACAGGACTCAGTTGCCTCAGTGTGATCAAAACAGTGTGAAGCCTGGCTTGTATTGATAAGGAGTCTGGATCATGAACCAGCGGTAGAGGAGAATCAGAACCACATCCCTATTTTCTTTCAGCAACAGAGCAATGAGTTTGGCTCAATCGTGCAAAGTCACCTTCTAAGAATCATGCAACTGCTCAGGTCAGAAAAGGCCTTAAAGACCATCGGGTCCAACCACAACCTAACCATGCTATCCTAAGGAGGCTCCTGCAGAGCTGCCTGCTGTAGGCTGTGAGCTGCCCGTAAGCACAGCAGGGTGTGGGAGGCAGGGCTGGTGCACGAATACCCGCTCTTATCTTGGTCCTCTCCCAGTGATACGATTGCAGAAGCTGTAAGCATTTGGAGTGAAACTTTCTGTTTGTTTTCTGAAATTTAGTGTGATTGCTGGTGGGCTGGGTGCTTTGTTGTTACCGTCATTTAAGGAACGCGGTACAGAGGTTGCATTTCTTGGTGCAAATCTATGGCTTTAACGCGAAGAAGAAATGCTCTGAGGTTGTGCCTGGTATGGCTGGCAAAGGAGTCGGTCTCCTTTTTCTTTGTTTTTTCTTTTTTTTTTTATTGTGTGTGTGTGTGTGGCTGCCTCACCCCAAATTCCTCAAAGTTAAACAGGCAGGGTGTGAATCTGACTCATTACAGGGCTTAAGAAAGTAGCTAAGGTTGGTCTGTGCCCTGTGCAGGGGACTTACTAATGCAGACCTTTGCACTGCTTTGATAAACTTGTGTAAAATACCGAAAGCGGGTTCAAATTCATGGCAAAAGATAAGGAAACCTGACCTGAGCATTTCTATCCAACAAAGCAATTGCTTGAATAACCTTTTTTTGAGAACATTTCTAAAGGCTTACGGTACCCAAAAGTGAAACTGATGTACCTTGTTTGTTATACTACACTTATTTTGCAAACAATCCTCTGGTAAAGATACTCCTCTAGTCAAACTGAATTATCTTCTTGGACTGCTACTATTTCCAAATCTGCTTTCTGTCAGAAAAGAACTATTTTATCAGATTTTTTTGTGTGTGTGCTTCATATGGCCTTAATTATAAATTACAAATTATAAAGATCCAAGTGCTTTTGATTTGTCTGATGGGCACCAGTATAAGACAAATGAGGGATTGTCTAGTAGTTAAAACTTTTGGAAAGCATACCAGCCCTTTCTACTGGTTTTTATGGTAATAATCATAGTAATAATTTTTAATACTGCTTCCCTGGAGCATGCTCTGTTAGCCACTCCTATCATCCCTACAGATTTGGAAGTTCAGTGTTCAATTGTACCTATAGGTAATAAGCTGTCTAATGGAAGTTTGCCTATCTGTTCTCTAGGCTAAAAGAGCATCTCTTAAGTACAGAATTCTCTTTCTTAGGACAATCATAAGAAGAAAGCAGCAATTTTTTTTAAGGGTAGTGTATAGAATATTGTTTGGGACAGTGGCTTTTTCTCAAGGATTATGGGCATGGTGTTTTATTGCATGTACTTGATCAGCACATGGAGGGGTTAGAAAGATGAGGCAGAAATTAAAGTCTTTTTTTGTTTTAATGCACTACGCTTTTAAAACTAAACGTGTACTTTTTCTCCCCAGATAAACTGTTACTGCACATTTAGTTGAGACCACTTTTCATTTTCTTTTTGGAAATGATATAGAAGTAAATTTGCAGCTGTTCGCAAAGGTGGACAGTGATAGGACACGGGAGAATGGTCTTAAACTGAGACAGGGGAGGTTTAGGTAAGATATTAGGAGGAAGTTATTCATCCAGTGGTGGCACTGGAACAGGTTGCCCAAGGAGGCTGTGGATGCCCCATCCCTGGAGGCATTCAAGACCAGGCTGGATGTGGCTCTGGGCAGCCTGGTCTGCTGGTTGGTGACCCTGCACATAGCAGGGGGGTTGAAACCAGATGATCATTGTGGTCCTTTTCAACCTATGCCGTTCTATGATTCTATTATTCTATGATTTTATGATAAATAACATGCTTTAAATCTACTTTGTAGCTTGTTTGGAATTAATTATTTTCTTTTGCTTTTAGTTGAAACATCGTGTCATAATGGAGATGAAACTATGGAAACAATTGAGGCTGCTGAAGCACTTCTCAATATGGACTCCCCTGGTCCTATGTTGGATGAAAAAAGAATAAGTGAGTTTTTTTTTTTTAAGAAAGTGAATCTAGCCTGTGTTTGACTTGTTTGTGACAAGGAGAGGTTCAGTGTTGTGTGATTGACTGGAAGGAGTAGGAATATTTTGCTTCCAAGTAGATTTTAGATGCGTAGTTTGGGTACCAGAAATCTAGTGTTATATGCAGTGAGGAGTTTCACTTCCTTGAGAACACGTTGATCCCAGAGTTGAACATCGATAGATAAGGAAAAAATTAAGAATTGAAGGGAAAATATGAATTAAGTGGAACTGTTTAGGCTGTTCTGTTTTGTTCCTCTGATAGAGGATGAATCTATTTATGTTTGACCGAGAAATGTGGTGGATGCCTGGAAGTGTTCAAGGCCGGGTTGGATGTGACTCTGGGCAAGCTGATACAGTGGAAGGTGTCCCTGCACAGAGCAGGAGGTTGGAACTAGGCAATGTTTAAGGTCCCTCCCAACCCAAATAGTTCTGTGATTCTGCACTGGCAAGATAGAAGAACATATACTTACCTCTGCAAATTCTGTTAACTGCGAATAAAAATGTGTGAACACACACCACAACAGTGCTTTTTAGGAGCGTAGGCTATGTCACTGCACTTGTCTGTTTTAATGCTACTTCTGATTGTGGATGGACATATTCAGTTATGAACTGATCTCCTCCCATTATCCCTTTCCCTTAAGCAACTATGTTTGGCTCAACTGAAGATGAAGATATAGTGGCTCCTATTACACATGTATCAGTCAGTCTTGATGGGATCCCCGAGGTCGTGGAAGTTCACCAAGCCCCAGACCCTTATGCTGAGTCACCAGAGACTCCGGAATTTGAACAACCAAAGAAGAAAAAGGGTAAGATGCTATTGCAGAGCAGTCTTGTGGAGTAGAGAGCAGTCAGTGGCATGCTTACCTCCTCTCATGGGTCTATGGAGCCATCCTGGCTGACAGGTCAAAAGAATCAAGTGTCCTCTGCTGGAAATACAGAGAATGCTTTGTCTGACTAAGTCCAAGCCCAAATGCTGAGATATTGATGATGTTGGAGGGATAGCAATGGTTACTTGCCTTAGGAAACATGGATCTTTACTCATTCCTATTTCTAGTTTCTTAAGAAGAAAATTACATTACAAACTATGGATCTTGCACTACCGTGAAAGCTGAAATATTTTAATTAGCTTTTATTTTGCTTTGACTCAAAAAAGATCTGTTATGCGCAGAAGATAAGAATGAGAACTTTTTTTTTTTTTTAGCATTTCTTGAATATAAACTGTAGTTTTATTTTGTTGGTGGTGCTTCTTTTCTCTGAATAGCTGCACACTGTAGTAAGTTTCAGTCCCATTTGCAGGAGGTAACCTGACTTGGCCGAGGCCTTGTCTGTTGTGTCATGTTCCTCTGGAGTCACTGCCATACTGAAGGGTAATGAAGTTATGTGATGTTAGTCAGACCTTCTGCTCCTGTCTTCCTACTCTGCTTCAGTGCAGGCACCATCTGAGGCCCTGATGCTAATGTCTGCTTTGGAAAAGTGTCACGTAGTGCAGGCAGATGTAAGGTGATGTTGCAACAAATTAAAAATAATATTAATAATAATAAAAATGAAATAAAACAGAAGAGTTATGTTTCTGGAACTAAAACATAGGTCTGAATCAGAGCTTTAGGACAGAAGATTTTGACACATTCCCCTATGGGGAAAATAAGTCATCCAGAAGAGGGCTTTTGCCGCCTACCCCATTATGCTTCTGATGCAAGAGTGCATTTTGTTGCTAATGCCAATAATGAATGTTGGGGGTAGTTATGTGTGAAGGGCAACATACAGACCTCTGGAAATGCTGTGGGAGCTTCCTTAGTCCCTTGTGTGTCACAGGGTCTGGTGGAGATGGGTGTTGGTCAGGAGCTCTTTGGTTGTTGTAAGAAAACTGAACTGAAACTGCTGTGCAGAGGAGTCTGACCAGCAGCTGCCCAAGAGTGCTGCTGGGGAAACTACCGTGCTGCATCATAACCAACTGTAAGGGGACTTTAGCTGGTTTGGTTTTTTTTGTTTCTTCTTGATGTCGGCTGCTGTGTGGGTCAAAACAAGGAGCCTCAATCTGCCCGACATTTAACTTCTTTGGCTTGATGCTTTCATACCATGTTAGTGTTGTGCTTCTGCTTACTCCCACTCCTTCCTCCTTTCTAACTGTAGGCTAAAATGTCAGTTGCTCCACAGTGAATGTGATTGGCTTTGATCATTACATCACATACAAGAAAAGCTAGAAAAGATGCATCAGCTTAAGGTTTCATTAACTACCAGTGTTCAGTGAAATTGAGGCAGATGGTCTGATCTGAGCATTGCTGAAGTGTTATTGCAAAGTGTGCAGGGATTTATAAGGCATTGACCTACAGGCATTACTACAAAATGTTACTCATTTTGTAGTGCATTTCAGGATGACATGCAGGGTTTGTATTTTCTGTTCTGGCTTTTATAAGGGCAATCTGTTTGCCCTGGTTGAGTCAGTTCTGTGGCAGTGTGAAGGACTATGGTCATTTTCCCACGTGTGTTGTAGCCACAATCTATTCACAGAGTAGCAGCACATGTAACCCAACAGCTGTATTTGTAGGGTTGCATTGCACAGAGCATTGCCTTGCTAACTGAGTTGGGATGGTGCTGCTGAAAAGAGCTGCTACAAGAAAATGTTCTCCAGAAGTGATAGGATGATTTTAATCACTTTCCTTGCCAGCCTCAATGCTGCATCTCATTTTGTTAATATCTAATTAATTTGTAGCAGGAATTTCTGAGCTGAAGTGTTTTTACAACCTCAACAATAGAGAAGTGGGAAAAAACCAAAACAATCACACAAGCAATTAGTATGAGATTACAGCAGATCCTCATGAGTCTTAGCTTCCTGCACATTCTTCATCCTTCCTCTTTATAAAATTCTCTCCTAAAAAGGAATGTAGTAACGTACTCTGAAAGGTAACAAATTCATGCTGTATTGGACCAGAGGAGGAAGTGTGCTAATGTTTAATATACTTTCAGTGAATAGTTTCTTTTAAACAAAGATTTCTTGTGTCTCTCCTGCCTGTTCTTTTGATGGTATCAGCATCTGGAGGTTATAGCTCACAGTGTAGCCTAAACCCATCTTCACTCATTTCTAGCCCAGTTTTAGAGCAGTAAGATCAATACCTCTCTGTAAACAAGTTCCACAATTCTTCACTCATTTTCCAGTTTGGGATAGCTTTGTGGTAGAGGATTGTCCAGATAGGCTGCCTTGAAGTAGTCCAGTTTTGAGGTAAGAGAACCTAGAATAGCTGCAGCAGTTGTATTTATGTTTAGTAGGCCAGGTTATCTGTTACCGAAAGTGCATGAATTGCATGTGGATCAGTGCTTGCATTTCCTGAAGTTGACCTGCAGTAGTTGAGTCATGAGACCTAATCCACTTGTTTTGCTTTTAAGACCTCATCTTACTTGGATGTTGGTAATTAACTACATCCAAATAACAATCTCTACTCCTTAATTATGGAGAGTAGAATTAATATTACTCCTTAACATGTATGTACAAGATGGGTAACAATATGAGCACTGAACAGTTATCCCATAAAGCAACTAGAAGGAGAGAAAAGCCTTTACCCAAAGTTACCATGTGGAACTTCTTGTGCAATAATAGCTGACCTATAGAAGCATGGTTCTGTCTAAATGTTTTACAGAAGAAGAAAATAAAGAAGACTTTTTTCTTGTTGCAACCAGTAATGGTTAGTAGTATAAAACTGCTAGAAACATGCTCCAGAGATTCCTACTGTTTTGTCGAACAGCCCCTTGAAAGCCAGTGTTGTAGGATTTCTTTCCTTCCATCTTCATTCAAATCAAGGAAGACATTAATGGCCAAGGAGATGACTGAGCTTTGTGTCCCATCCTCAGCCATGAATCCTCCATGAATGAAAGCAATTAAATGAGAGGACTTCATGCATTACTAGTCTTTCCTCACTGCAGCTCTCAACTAGCAATCCTTCCTCTTGTTCCTGTTTGGGAAGAAAAAAAAAAAAGGGAGAGAGAAGGAAAATTGAAAGTGCAAAGGGGACTTATCAAGACTGCCAACGTTGAAAGTGCTCAAACCAGGCTTTCTAATGACTTCTTAATGGATATCTGAAGGTCTGTAACAAATCAGACAGTCCAGGCTGGCCTTGACATTCTTGTTCAGAGCCGGTGAAACTCCCTAACCCATATTCTTTGATTCTGTGATTATTCTGCAGTTTTGTCTCTTGTACTAAGAAAACCTCTAAAAATAAAACCGAAAGAGGAATGGCATTGCACAGACCTGTTTGTCTTGCTTCAGTTGAACTTAAATGCCTTTGGAAATGCAATAAAGAGAGAAAAAGAAAAATACTTTTCTTTACCTCTTTATTTATGACAGCAGGTTACTTGGATTAGAAGTATATTTCTCTCAGTCCTGTCTGCTTGCTCTGTTCTGCCTCTCAAAAGAACAGAAGCAGTACATGAAAAATTTAGGTACTGATAATATGCACTCTGAAAGTAATGCCTCTTATTTATTTCCATTGAAAATATAACAGATAAAAGAGCACCATAACACTATTTGATAGAGCAAACTCTCAGCTACAAAACATTTCTTCAACACAATCACCAACGTTAGCTCCGCATTTTTTGCCAGCGATGAACAAGAGCCTGCACACCATTCTTGTAAAAGTCTGCATGGCTGTCTGGAACGTGGTTTGTCTTCCACTTCACTGTTGCCACTGCTGAAATGCACCACCCACTGTCTCACTGTGCTCACATCCTCTGTTTGGTCTCCATAAATGTTCAGCAAGTGTTGATGAATGTCAATGGGTGCCATTTTTTCTAGGTGAAGGAGTTCAGTGATACACTTCTGTGTCAGATGCCATTCTGTCAGACTGCATCTCTTCTCCCATCTGTCACACAGTAACAGCATGTAATGGAATACTGTCAGGAAGGTACAGCCTCTGTTGCCATACCATCATAGCATCTTCTGAGTTGGTGTCAACAGTTTACAGGCTGGTTCAACCTGGTTTTATGACTAATGGGGAGGGGAGACCCACGGACCCATGCCTTGGGAAAGGGGGAAGGAGGAAAAGGAGCCCTTAAAAAGTTGTCCAGTCCAGCTCCCCTGTAACGGACAGGAACACCTACAGCTGGATCAAGTTGCATAGAGCCTCAACCAGCCTGACCTTGAATGTCTCCAGGTACAAGGCACCCATCAATGTCCACCTCTGACATCATGGGCCAACATAATGAAGTAGGAGGCATTGCTTTTAGGACAGTTTTGTACTAAAGGGTCATTGCAAAACCTAATAAGAGGAGTATTTTTTTCATAAGTATGTTTTGAAGATTCCTGATTAATTACAGTATTGGTAAAGCTGATATTGAGTGAGAGCCAATGAAGGAATAAGTTCAAGATTTGATATTGAAAAAAGAATGCAGTACAACTTAATTTTTTTTATTCCACTTACGATTAGTTGTTTCTTCAACATTTTCAAATGAATGCTCTTCACTCTTGTCATCACTTGTAATTCTTTCTTTAAGTCTTCCTCACCAGACAGAGCAACCATGTTTATAACTTCAAAAAATGGTGTTTCTGTTAATGGTTCTCCCAGTCTTAGAAAAACAACCAACTTTCCTTCCAGCATTGGGAAAGATATAAGATAAAACAGAACTGAAAAATATTTTCTTCATGTGACAGTACAGTTGGCTGCTATCAGTGGGGACTTCCAGACAAATAAGAAGACAACCTTGTTGTATCCCTGAAAATTCCATTTTGGTGATGCCTGAACAAGATAGTGCTCTGTATTTTGTTGAGCCTTTTCCATTGAAACACTTCTGTTCACAGTTAATAGCCTATTCTTCTTATCTCTCCTGTAGTAAGTGCTGTTAAGAGTACCTAAAAAGCCACAGAGATTTCCAAGGCAGGTGAGCTTTGGAAAATCTTTACTAGAAAAAAATCTTTACACTAATATCATAGGGGTGTCAATCTTGTAGAAATAGAAAAGGCTCAGAATAGAACAAAAATCCTAAATGAATAAAAATTGAAATTCCTCTGAATTAAGAAAAAAATATCATTCTTTTTTAGGTCCTGGTTCTTTTTTGCTTACATCCATTTTTTTTTCTAACCTGAAGTTCATTTACTGGTGGTTTATTTCAGGGAAGAAGCCAAAACCCTCTCGTCCTGAGTCCCCTGCAACAACTCCAAACATATCTGTGAAAAAGAAAAACAAAGATGGAAAGGGTAAGTCACATAGTTGTCACTGAAGTTTTTAATAAAGCATATTGCTTCTGACTGACACGTAAAAAGAGAAGAGTTTGCAGTGATAGAGCAACAGATCTTGTACTCAAAGGTAGTTACCATTTCATCATAAATTATGTAAAAAAATCAGTGCAGGAAACTCCTTTGTGAATTACCCAGTTCCTGGGAAGAAGGATGCATTTGTCATTTCAGTTGCAAGGGCTCTTGGAAAATCCTCAAGCCCCCACAGAGGCTGCTGTGTTTCTGTAGAAGTCCTGGGGAGTGCCTTGCATTGTATGAAGCTTTCGTGGGATGCAGTTGTTTTGACAGATGATCTTTGGAAACATTTTCCATCTGCACGTGTCTAATTCTGCACAGAGAGATGATCAAGGCTGCCAGCTGCCAGTGGGAAGTACCAGTGCCTTAAATTTGAGGGAAGTTAGCTTGAAGGCTTGGGCAGAACGCTTAGGTTTTCAGTACTTCATTCCTTTCATGGTTAAAATAGGGAAAGAAAGAAAAAAGAAAGAGAAGAGGCCACGTTACTGATACAAATAAATAATTTCCCCTTCTGTGAACTGTTCAGCAGTGCCTGTCAGTTTGGTCAGCTTGCTTCACTGTTGATCCAGTGCCCACACTGAAACCTGGCTGGTTTGTGAATTGCAGCCTGACGCACTTTCTGCCACCAACTGCTTTGCACAGGGGAAGCTCTTCTGTGTCACCTCAAGTGCCACCACGTGTGCTTTTATCACCTGAGCTGCTCTCGTATTTTGCAGTGCTCACCAGGAGACAAGCTCTGCAAAACCCGGGGGGGTGTTGGTCTCTTTTGAAACTCTAAAAATTACTACATTTGACCAAATAATGTGTTCTCTTTTGAATAAAATTTTTTCGACCGTAACAGGAAAAAAAAAGATCTGTTTGCAAGTAATAAATATTTTAAAAGCTATTGCTGGCTGTTTTGAATATGCACTGTTGTGGTTGGTTTGTTTGCTTTTAATTAAGACCTGATTTTTAAATTAAAGAAAAGCATCACAGTAACCTCACAGCAGTGCTTAAATGAAATAATGGGAAATATCAAAGCAGCTATCCATCCTCCAAGTTAAAAGGCAGAAGCATCTAACTTTCTGTTGATGATAACAAGGATATACTATAATATTTCACATTTGTCCCTACTTACAAAATTGCTAACTCAGAAGGAATTACAGTGTGTTGCCTGAAGCCACTATTACAAACAAAACTACCATACAAGCACTTGTTTATTATATTTTTGAGGAACGTAGAGTCAAAGCAGAAGAGATGATAATATATGTGGCCATGGCACAGAAGCAACTAGAAAATCCTGGGAGTTGCTCATCTCTCAGTATCTGCACTGTTCCCCCTTAGGAGAGCATGTGTGCTAAAATACTGACTTCTCCATTTAATTATTTAATGCAGTGCATGGAGCAAATAGTGAGTTTTCTCTGCATTTCTTATGCTGTAACTCACAGGAGGTTAGAAATCCTGCCTGTGAGTAAAACAGTGCTTTCACAGACAGTCCTCTTCATAGTGATTTTTCAGTGGCTAAACAGTGACAGATTTTCAGTCTGCCTTGATACTGCTCAGTTTTTTAGTCTAGACTACAACAAAAGCACCCTGGATTAGTGGTAATTGGCTGGGAATGCTGTCATTCCTGACTGACACGGTGTCTTGCCTAAACAATCTTAACCTTTGCCTTCAGGTGTCTGGAGGCAGACAGGCTGATATTTTCCACTAGGCTGGAAGAGATTTGTAGCAAAGCCAGGGGTTTTTCTCCAGAGATGCTCGCTTTTCAGGTTTCTACCTTCTGAAGGGGTGTTTTGTACTGTCAGGGCTGAATGGTGACACTGCTGAATATTTGCAAGTACCTTATAATGGGGGCTTGCTGGGTTAATCACCAAAATTTCAGTCAAACCTGTTGGTTCATCACTAGAGCTGACCAACCCAGGATGTCAAGTATGGACAATGATGTATTTGTAGAAATACAATAGGGTAGTTTCAGAGTCTGAAGAATTTATAAGATACCTCCTCTAGTTAACAAAAAGTCCAGACTGGTGGCCATGGAAGTTGAGAAGACAGCAGAATGAAGCTGAATCTAAGAGTTTCTGTTATGTTCTCATTCATTGGCCATCTTTTTTTTATTTTTTTTGGTGAAGCTGCAGGAATCTGCATATGCTGACCTTTGTGTGGTATTACATGGCTACTTGTGTGAGGAGATAATTTCACGCAAGAGGTTTTCCTCCTTCATCAGTCTGACAGCATCTCACTAAAAAGGCTTTTCTGCAGCTGTGACTATCCAAAGGAACATCAAACACAAATAGCCTTAGAAAAAGCAGGCAAAAAGATCTCCTTAGTTATACCAGCTTAGACTCCTTAAATGTGTTTTCTGGACACAGATTTGGTGGTAATTTTTTCACAGTCTGTGATTATAATGTGTGGAAAACAGCAAACAGGCATGTTGGATTTCCAGATGTAGGTGTGCTTGTATCTGCTTCTACATAAAACACAGTTTGAATGCTGTCTGCCAGCAAGTCATTGAGTTTAGGAGAAAGAGATGTTTTCTGAACTTTATCTCCAAGGTTTGCTTCCCTTGGCATTATCTCTGAGTATCTCCCCCTTCTCCCCCCCCAAAAAAATCTTGTTGTTAAAGCAGGGATTCTGTGCTTCATTTCCAGTTGCTTCAGAGGATGGACGTGAACGTGTTCCTGTTCAATTGAAGTCACTGCTTCTGTGGCTGGGTTAGGCATGAAGGAAGCATGTGAATGGGAAGAGAATGCTGTCTGATCTTGATGCTGGGATGTGATGTTTGTAGTTTGATGCTCAATCTGTTGGTTACAGACCATGGCTAGACTGGACACCCCGATTAAAATAACTAACAAGATTCCCTTCCCATGCCTCTCTGTCACTGTTTCCTAATCTCAACGTTATACTGCAGTGTGTTCATAAAGATACCAACTTCTTAATTTTTAGGTTTACATTGAGAATAAAATATTGTCAACTAATTTATTTTTTTTTTCTTTCCTGAAATACTTCTATTTTAGGAAACACAATTTATCTCTGGGAGTTTTTACTAGCACTGCTTCAGGACAAAGCTACATGTCCTAAGTATATCAAATGGACGCAAAGAGAGAAGGGCATTTTCAAACTGGTAGATTCTAAGGCCGTGTCCAGACTATGGGGAAAACACAAAAACAAACCTGACATGAATTATGAAACAATGGGTAGAGCTCTCAGGTATGTGCATTTTTAATAATAGGCTGTCTTTGTTGCCATGGTGTTTGCATGCATTAAATGCCTCATCTAATTTGTGTAACAACTGTAAAGGAGTTCTGTTAGCTTGGTAAACAAAGGACTTATTCCAGCAAAATAAATCAGCTAACTAAAAGTAACCCTTGCTAACCTAAACCCCAAATCAATCACCTTCAGTTTCAGCTTGCATGTTTTCGGTGCCGCCACCAAACCTGTATCTCACAGTCACCCCCAAAACTGGAGATAGGGGATTCCAGAAGTGGCTTTTCTGTAAAGTTTGACTCTCCTTCCTCCAAGAAGTCCTGAATTTATCTATAGTAGAATTTAAGAAAATATTTGTTCCCATAGCAAACGATCCAGTTCTCAGTGGAAAATACAGTTTTAGAATTAAGATCTGCATGCGATTCTATGAACTTGTGTGTACAGTTTTAAAACATCTTTTTCTATGGGGGTTTATTCCACATACAGAAAAGACTGTGCTAAATAAGTGTAATCCTGTGAGTGTGAGTGATGCAAGCTTCAGTCTTACTTGCTGATTGATCATTGTCTAGCTGAGCAGCTGTGCTTGTCTTTCCTTTCACCTCTCATCTCAATATGTCTAATTTTATGTATTTGTAAGTATAACAGAAGTAGAGCTCCCCTGTCCTGTTCCCTGTCCTTCCGTGTAGCTGAAGCATCTGTATGCACTTACTGAGAAGTGAGCATAATTAAGACTGGGTAAAAAAGGACTGGATGTCTGGAGGAGACCTGCAAGTTTTGCATGACTCCTAAGGAGTGTCAGTTTGTAGCAGCGTTGCTAAGTCGCAGAGTTCTTGCTGTTCAGTGTTACCTGAGGTTGAAATTAAAAGGCTATAAGACATACCACTAAAGAGTTCTTTGAATTGAAAATGTGCTACTAATTTGGCCACTCCTTCGTAATCAAGAAATGAGGCGTGTAAAATATTATTTTAAGCTTCTTTTTCTTGCTAATGCTGGTCTTATTCACTGTTCTTCTGTTGGTAAGGGTTTCTCTTTTTCAGCTTGCTTTTTTTTTTTTGTCAGAAAGCACTCTGTAACTTGATGTATGTATGCTTTAAACAGATATTATTACCAAAGAGGAATACTGGCTAAAGTAGAAGGTCAGCGCCTAGTGTATCAGTTTAAGGAAATGCCAAAAGATCTCGTCTACATAGATGATGAAGATGCAAGTCCTAGCACTGAAACATCAGATTCAAGTTTGCTCTCAACTCCTGCGGCCAGTAGAAACCAGTCGAGCAGATCTAGAGCGTCTGCAAACACAGGAACAAAGGGAGGATCCACCACAGTTCTAAAAACAGGAAATTCAAAGCCTGCTAAGCTTAAGGAGCACGTAGAAGTTGTACAGCAGCAGACACCTGGCTTGACTTCAGAAGTTTTGAGGACAATGCAGTCTACACAGCCAGTACATCCCACTCAGCTTTTTCGGACAGTTCACGTAATGCAGCCATTGCATACCCTCACAGAAGGACACGCAGCTGTAACCAGTAACGTTCCAGATGAAACATTAAGTCCCTCAGTTCAGAATATAAGGTAAGAAAATGTAAATTAATGTATGAATAATAATAGCTTCATCGGGTGGTGAGTAGGTAGAGTATGTTCTTTATTGTACTTTAAAAAGCTTGCTCCTGTCCTGGATTTCAGTGAAAGGGTGACCCTGGGAATTAATTGGGAGTTTCTACAGCACTCTTGAATGTCCGCACTCCTAAGCTCTGTCGTTGGCAAAGGGAAGCACTTATTTCCTCCAGGTTAGGCCTGGTGCAAATCCAATAAAGAGAAAAAATATACAAGTTCTATTTAAAATTTTCTATTGTTGGTTCTGTCTTGCAGCAGAGAGAGTATTTTCATGGCTCTGGTTTTTCACTGTTCGGTGTCTTTGCTTTTGAATTACGTGTGGTATGATTACAATAATCCATCAGAAAGATTTGCCTTCTTCCTTCTTAATTCTTTGTATTATAAATGTTGTCATCTCTTTCATCTTTTCTATTGTCCCCACTTAAAAGGGGAAAGCTCAGTTACGTACTTCAGCATTTTATTGCTGCTAAAAGAGCTTGTTCTTCTCCCCTTCATGGAACACTGAAATTGCATGTCGTAATTCTGGACCTTCGTTGTTTCACAAAAGCCTCAGGATATATCAGGAGCTGCACATTTTTAATGAATTACACGCATTAGTTGTTGTTTGTTGTTCTTTTTTCCACTTGAGATTTGTGTTGTTAGAGTTGCTGTTTGAATGGTTATCATTTTATACTACAAAAAGTCAATAATGTTTTTTCCTGCTCCCTTCCTGTGTTATTTCCTTTGAAAATTGCATCCAGAGCCACCGGTAGATCTGTGAGTATCTGGGGTTAACCACAGAATGTTGTCAGATGGAAATAACTAATGATGTTAATGAGATCAAATAATTGTTTAGCTTCGAACAAATACCTTTAGCTCTTTCATCTCTGCTACTGGAGACTGTAAAAGCCGGTCAGTTATTAGAACTGCATTTGTAAATGAAAGGACAACACAAGACTTCAGCTTCAATCAAGAAATATGTGTGTAATAAACTCTCTTATTTCTTTGAGGTTAAAAAAAGAAAAAAAAGCCTGGTGAATTGGTGTTTTTTCCTTGAAAACTAGGAAATGGTTTTCGTTCACGTTGCAGTGCGAAAAATTCACACTGAAAAGTGAAATTCATTGCTTCATAAAGGTTATAAGGGAATAAATATATTGAGCAATGTAATTACTGATAAGGGCTGTAAAATGGACTGGAAGGAGTCGTCGTTTTTAAGTAAGCAGTATCTGTTTTCATTTGTTTTCTACTGCGGAAATCAAATTGTGTTTCGCTTATAATTCTAATCAACTAAAATTAGCCCAAGAAAGGAAAGGTTGCGTGTGATCAGATGCTTAGGTGGAAGTCACTCTCTAATTATGAAGAATTTGACCAAAAAAAAAAAAAAGTTTTGAAATTCCTTTGGGAAAACAAAAATCTGTGTCAGTGTGATGTGTGCACTTAAATTTTAAAGCCTAGGAACGGAGCTGCACAAGGCTGTAATTTCAAGGCTGATGAAGGATTTAATTATCTGCAAGTTGTAAAAACGTAGGTAGGTAACTAGTAGTTAAAGGAGATGAGTACAGGCATTACTGAAGCTACGCAGTACCATTTAAGTTGGGAGAAAATTGCTATTAAACATCAGTAGGGTAGAGAGTGTGGCAGTTTGCAGAGTTAAATAGCTCTGGGCTACATCTGTGTTGGATTATCCATCAAAAACAATTCCAACTGGATGGACTGTTATGTAGATACTGCTATTTATGTAGTTACATGGATAGCTAAAAAAAATGATAGCAACAAACAGAATGAAGACATTTAGACCCAGTTAGATAGGCAGGCAAGCGTTCTTAAGATTTGGAAAGCTGCAGAATGATGTGATTGCAATCTATTGCATTACAGCACTTCACAGTGAGTTTTTGGGCAGTAAGCAAAAGGCCATGGGGGAAGGTAGTAGATGATGCATGTGTGAAGTTTGAATGAAATAAAAGCTGTGGAATCCTTAGAGTTTTGTATCACTTCAGTTGTGTTTCTGCTGTGTTGATAGCTTTTTTCCATAAGTCCTTCAGTTATGTGTTTCCTAGCCACGATGACAGTTTCTCAGTTGAAGGGGGGAGGGGGTGAAGAGACCCATTGACTGGATCTTTCCAGTGCAATTAAATTACTGAATGTTACAGAAATATTGTTCATTAGGAATGCAAGAATGCAAACATGCAAAGGTGTTTAAGCAGTGAGACTGAAAAATAAGAAATTGTTTTTGTCCACGCTTATAGCCAGGATAAACCAAGGTGCTGATAAGTCCAGGCTCCAAAAATGCAGTCTGTAACTTAAATTTTTGCTCAGTTTCAGACTTATATTTTTGTTTAGTTTCAAACTGCAAACTTAAAAATCATTTGGCCAGATGGAAAGGCATATTAAAAAATTTAGGAGGTGATATATTAGGCTTTGTTTTATTGTAAAATTACAGAGTAACTATCTTTTGTTTGCGCATGCAACCGTAAACCTCTGGCAGTTGAATGTGTTTGTGTACATGTTCTGAAGAGCTTCAGTGGACCTACCATGAGGGGCAGGATGATATTTAAGAGTTCAAGATCTTGAGTGGAAGCAGCAAAGCAAAAAGTAGGATTGCTACCCTGGACTTCAGGAGAGCCAACTTTGATCTCCTGTGGGACCTACTTGGAGCTATCCCGTGGGCTAGGGTGTTGGAAGGGAAGGGGGCCTGTGAGAGCTGGTCGGCATTTAAGCAGCTCTTCTTCCAAGCTCAGGATCGGTGCATCCCTTGAGCAAGAAATCAGGAAAGGGTGGCGGAAGACCTGTGTGGATGAGCAAGGAGCTCGTGCGCAAACTCAAAGGAAAGAAGGCCCATGAAATGTGGAAAAAGGGTCTGACCACTTGGGAAGAATATGGATATGTTGTCAGGGCCTGCAGGGATGCGATGAGGAAGGCTAAGGCCTGCCTGGAATTGAATATGACAAATGTGATGAAGGATAATAAAAGAGACTTTTTAAAGTATGTTAACAGTAAAAGGAAGACTAGGGAGAATGTGGCTCCCCTGCTAAATGAGGGGTGTGTGTTCTGGTAACACGGGATGCTGAGAAGGCATTGCCTTCTTTGCTTCTGTCTTCAGTGAAAAAGCTTTCCTTTGGGAATCCCAGACCCTGGAGGTTAGTGAGAGGATCTGGGGAATGGAAGACCTCCCTTTAGTCAGGGAAGAGGTGCTCCGAGAGCGCGTAGGCAACATCAATGTTCACAAACCCATGGGACCCGATGGGATGCATCCACGGGTGCTGAGGGAGCTGGCAGAGGTGATTGCTGAACCGCTTTCTGTCATCTTTGAGAGGTTTTGGAGGACGGGGGAGGTGCCTGAAGACTGGAGGATAGCCAATGTCACTCTGCTCTTCAAAAAGGGCAAGAAGGAAGATCCAGGTAATTACAGGCCAGTCAGCCTCACCTCTGTCCCTGGAAGGATGATGGAACAGCTTGTACTGGATGTCATCTCCAGACAACTGGAAGAAGAGGAGGTTATCAGGAGTAGTCAGCATGGGTTCACCAGGGGGAGGTCATGCTTTACCAACTTGGTGGCCTTCTATGATGTTGTCTCTGGCTGGGTGGATGGGGGGAGAGCAGTGGATGTAGTCTACCTGGATTTCAGCAAGGCATTTGATACTGTCCCCCACGACATCCTTATAACAAAGCTGAGGAAGTGTGGGATAGATGAGTGGACAGTGAGGTGGGTTGAGAACTGGCTGACTGGCAGAGCACAGAGGGTCGTTGTTGGTGGTGCAGAGTCCGGTTGGAGGCCTGTAACCAGCGGTGTTCCTCAGGGGTCTGTGCTGGGTCCGGTCTTGTTCAACATCTTCATCAATGACCTTGATGAGGGGACAGTGGCCACCCTCAGCAAGTTTGCTGATGATACGAAGTTGGGAGGATTGGCTGACATGCCTGAAGGCTGTGCTGCCATTCAGCGAGACCTGGACAGGCTGGAGAGCTGGGCAGAAAAAAAACGGATGAGGTTTAACAAAAGCAAGTGTAGAGTCTTGCATCTGGGGAGGAATAATTGCATGCACCAGTACAGGTTGGGGGATGAGCTGCTGGAGAGGAGCTCTGTGGAGAGGGACCTGGGTGTCCTGGTGGATGACAAGTTGGCCATGAGCCAGCAGTGTGCCCTTGTGGCCAAGAGGGCCAGTGGCATCCTGGGGTGCATTAAAAAGAGCGTGGCCAGCAGGTCGAGGGAGGTGATCCTCCCCCCTCTACTCTGCCCTGGTGAGGCTTCATCTGGAGTACTGCGTCCAGTTCTGGGCTCCCCAGTACAAAAAAGACAGGGATCTCTTGGAAAGAGTCCAGCGGAGGGCCACAGAGATGGTGAAGGGCCTGGAGCATCTCTCCTATGAGGAAAGGCTGAGTGAAATGGGTCTGTTCAGCATTGAGAAAAGAAGACTGAGAGGGGACCTGATCCAGGTCTATAAATATCTAAGGTGTGGGGAGCAGAGTGGCGAGGCCAGACTGTTTTCAGCAAGGTGTGGAGACAGGACAAGGGGAAATGGACAGAAACTGGAGCACAGGAAGTTCCACACAAATGTGCACAAGAACTTCTTTCCAGTGAGGTGACGGAGCACTGGAACAGGCTGCCCAGGGAGGTGGTGGAGTCTCTTTCTCTGGAGATGTTCAAGACCTGCCTGGATGCCTACCTGTGCAACCTGGTGTAGGGAACCTGCTTTGGCAGGGGGGTTGGACTCGGTGATCTCTGGAGGTCCCTTCCAACCCCTACAATTCTGTGATTCCGTGATGGGTCTGCTTGATTTAAAATGCACAGCACAAGTGAGCACCATTGTAAAAAAGGGGGCAGACAAACCTTGTGATGTATGCATACTGCTTATAGGAAAGTGCTTGGAGTCACTTTACTGTCAATTTACAAGGAAACTGGAGGAGCAATAGCAGCAGCCACTGCTTTGTGCTTTTTGGAGGGTGAGGCACATGGACAGTTGTGGTCCTCGTGGGAGAACAGG